AGAGAGAATTTTCATCTATATCTTTTATTTTACTTTCTTTCTCTTCGACTTCCATTTTATTTTCCTTATTATTTTCTTTTTTCGGGACTTGCTTTGGCACTTTCTTCAAAACTTTCTTCGGAGCTTCCTTCAGTGATTTCTTTGGTGGATTTGCAAGATCTACATCGTCTCGCTCAGACATCTTTTTTCTCTTTAATTGCTTGTTTTTGGTAGATGGTAATTCTGTTACGATCTTATTTTTTGGAATTTCGAATGCAGACTTTAGCATACAAATCGGCATATTGTCAGATTCGACTCCCGTCATTATGACGTACAATCGAATCTTGGCATGAATTTTATAAGGTGTTAAATCGGGAAAATAGTCGTTGACGTGTCGACGAACAGGTAATGCCGCCAAATATCCTGTACCATTACGTTTCACGAGAACAAGTATCAACCATTTAGTAATCATTAGAATCTCTGCTTTTAATGCGATTCCAGTGGGTAATTCTGATAGTGTTTTTTGCTTCGAACTAATGCCGTTTATTATTCTCGGTAGCAAAGACACGTTGACAAATTCATGGACGTAATCTTTCCACAGAATTGTACCAAACACTTTGTCTCCCACTTCAGGATTGCCACAATAATGATCCTTGGATACTGTACCCATCAACTGATTGCCTAACTGAAGTACTAGACCGTGTTCAGTTATCTTCTTGACAGTACCAGTAACTTTTTGACCTAAAATTACCGATGAGATTGGCTTGTTCTCGTAAAATGTATTCTTTGCTAGCTCCGATAATTTGCTAAGATACAAACTTAAGACATCCACCGCTGTCATCATCTTGACTTCAAATTCAGTTGAGCTCTCCGATATATCTTTCAGTGACATTGTCAGAGTCAGTTGTTTCTCTTGCTTATCGATAGCTGTGATTTTAACGAATAATAACTGATTTGTGTGCAACAGCTCGAAATTGCTTATGTTCTTGTACGACACAAATCCAAATTTACAGTAATTTTCGATTGGCAAGATAATTCTCATGCCATCTTGCGATGTATCTCGAATTGTACAGGGAATGCAATCGCCTACTTTTAATGAGTCAAAGTTCGAATATTTCTTTTGTGTGGTAAAAGTGCGTGACAATATTATAGTCGGTTTTATGGCAAACACGAAAGCTGAGATTATATCTCCAGGACTACATCTTGATGCCAGTAAACTGCCGACTTCAATGCATGGAGCCATATGACCCGATGGTAAGAAGCCAGTCACAACGTTTTCATTATCTTCTTTTCGTATCTTCAAGTATATTCCTTTAATAGATGATTCCGATACTGTTCCTTCAATCATATCTCCAATCGACAAACTAACGGATTGTTTCTCTTCTTCAGAAACGATTCTTAATTTCATTCTACATCTATCTTTTTCTATTGATTCGACACACACTGTAACTGTCTGTCCAACGGAAAAATTCCAATTCATATTATACGTATCGCTATTTAATGTAATGCGTGGGACCCACCCTTTTATCGTTCCGAAAAATCTTACTAATATGCCTTTTTCATTTATTACACAGATCGTACCATGATATTTTAATCCGCATTTAACTTCGTCAAAATCATGTAAAACTGGCAATTTGCTCTTTATTAGCGACTGTTTCAGCGTAAATTTTACTGTATTTTTACTTTTCTCTAAGACTCTTGCTTCGACATTATCTCCGACTTTCAATTTATAGAGAGTACTTAAGCCACTGTCGGATAAGTGTTCCATTGGAACAAATCCCCGAATCTTTCCTACTTGTACATGTATATAAGTACGAGATGTTTCAATGTGCATAATGGTTACAGTAAGAATATCACCAATATTAAGATCAGAAGCTAAAAAATATTTTTGCTTTAAAATTTCTTCTTCCATTGTACAGACATAAAAATGTTCCATCCCGCTATATGCAAGTATTCTACACTTGTGTATGGAACCTTCTTTGAATTCGGTTGGAATTTTAGCAAATGGGACATTGGTTCTTCGTAAAGAAACAAATCCACGTAATCCAGATTTAGATAATTTAAAAATTATCCCAGCAGATTCTCTGTATAGAACTTTGGCTTTGTTTATAATACTGCCTATGGATAATTTTTCCTTTTCAGGTACATCAGCCAACAGACTAAAGTATGCTAATTTCACAGTTGGTAATATATATAATAATGTGCCAATCACTTCCATATTATTTACATATGTAGATAAAGGATTATTCAAATAAATTTGATTTATATATCCAACGTTATTTTTCCCAAACCTAACTTGCAGGCCATTAGAAAGCACCTTTATTACATAAAGCGACAATTTTGTTCCTGGTGTTAAAACATCTAAAGATGCTATGTCATATACTTTGGTATTATCAAACTTTTTTCTTTTAGTTGATAATTTAATAATAAATCTAGAATCTACTTTTGCTATTTTCTTGATAGTACACGAAAGTTGAGTACCTGGAACTACGTAATATATGGTATTAGCAAACATTTAATAATAGATATTAAATTATATAAAATTAGTTATATATATTTACAATATTGTTTTCCTTTATCGATATCTTCAGTACAAAGAAATGCTACAGCATTAGCTACACCTATGTCAATTATGTAACCATGATCCTCTATACTTTTGACAGTGCAAACTACTTTCATATCTTTTGCAAGATAACTAGCATAAACATTCTGATATATTAATTGTGGTTCTATAGATAAACTACAAAACCAATTATCTTCAAAATTTAAACTTTTCACACAACATGTTACATAATCACCAGGATTAAACAAATCTGGTAAAGGTTTGAATTCATTTGACTGAACAACTCCTGCATTAATTATATCTTGCAACAAATTCGTGTAAGATTGACTGAGATTTGTAGCTTGTATTTTTCCTTGAAATCCACCTGGTAAAGATACTATCAAATCATATTCTGATACTTCAGAAATCCGACCAAGAATTATCAGTCCTTCTTGTAGCATGATTTTAGATAATCGATCTGCAGTTGTAGTAATAAAATTTGTGTCTTTTACAATTACATTTTCTTTCTTTGTTTGTGTTTTATGCTTCTTGGGTTTAAGCTTCTCCTTAAATGGCTAAAATAAAAGTATTATCAACTGCATCTATATAATTATACAGCAAAATTCTTGTATATAAAATTATGCCAATAAAATATTAATATAAAAAGTTTTAATATATGGATATCTAGATATACATATTAATTTAATAAAAATACAAATTCTAATATTTTCACTCTTAACAAGCAACTTGAAGCCTTTAAAACAGGAGAGCAAGTTTATGCTTAGGATAAGTCCACTTAACGTTTGCAACGCTCGCGAGTATCATTTTATCCTTCTTGTCATCAAATATTAAATAAGGATGAGATAATATGCACGTTTATTGCAAACATTCAGTAGAATTTTTATTAAATGGAAGTGCACCTATAAAGTATAATAACTTATGTATATCTAATATAAACTATGTAAACTATGCTTTATGTATCATTTATGTAAACAATCTATGAATCATCAAAGCCTATGTTCTTTATCTATTGGACTGTATAAAATTTCTATTTTCTTTATATACTTTTATTTATTAATATTAAAATCAAAAGGTAATTATTGAGAATTATTTCCTCATCTTAAATTTTAATAAAAATATACTTATTTGTCACTTAAAATGAGAGCATCTAGCAGAAAAACGTAACGATCAGCCTCAAGAAACTATAAGCGTTAAAGTTCGAGAGTTTAGAAATTAAAATATCTGTCGCATACTGACTAAAAAGTTAAAAATACACAAGATTCGCTATAGATTTACTGATTTTTGAATCACGAAATAATATTATTAATTTTAATTAATATATAAATTAAATAATACTTTATATGGAACATTTGTAACATTTTTCAAAATTTATAGGAATTTAAACAGACTAAATTTATAGTTACAGCGTTTATTTTAAAGAAATGTTAAACTTTAATCTATATTTAAAAAAAAATTAAAAAGATATAAATTTTAAATAACAAACTATTCTCTGCTTTAAAAACAAATTCACTACTTTAAAAATACAAATTCACTGCCTTAAAGTACAAATTTTTTATATAATTTTTATTTTTAAAGCAGTAAATTTGTGTTTTTATAGCAGTAAATTTGTATACTTAAAGTAGTGCATTTGTGTACTTAAAGCAGAGAATATTTCTTTTTAAGAATTAATTAATGTTAAAGTACATATACATAGCGTTGTATCAAGTTAACAGATATCTTTATCTCTAAAGTCTCAAATTTTAACTTGTTCCGCAAGATACATCATCACGTTTTTCTTTTGAGTGAAAATGTATTGAATAAGTATCTTTATATTAAAAGCGATTTTGAAGAAAGCGATTTTATAAATAATGATAAATAATTATACCAAAGTCAGATATGTTAACAATCATAAAACTTAATTATTTGTTTGTATAGATTAATTTATAATAATTTATATATTTTGTATTGTTTATATTATCTATATAAAAAAATTTATATCAATTTAACATAAATAATACATAATAAATATTCAATGTAAATGTAATTTTGAAATATTGTATAGTACAATTCTGTTTTAAAGGCACCATCAAAATTTTGATGTAAAGTCTCTCTGATAGATAAATTTATATCTCTAAAAAAAATAAGTAAAATATATTTTAATCTCTACGATTACAAAAACTTTGTTATCATATTTTTTTTGTTAAAACTTTGATATCATATTTTTTCGTATCTTTATATATTTCAGAACAGAAAAATTTGTTGTATTTATCAGATCGAGCTCCTTACTGCTGATGCAAGAGTTAAAATTATACAATGTGAAAAGTTAAATAAAACATTATAACATTTTCTTAATCTTTTCTTAAAATATATAAATTAAAATAGATTTAATTCAGAAATAAAGAAACGAAGATTGAAATTATATACTTACATCTATTGATCTTTTAATTTCAGATTTTTTTCCTCCTCGAGGAAAATTTTCCAGTGTCATCTATAAAAATAGTTTAAATAATTATTATTTATAATTGATCACAAAAAATTATCATTAAGTTGATTCTACATTGAGTTGGCCGATAGTTCTAAATCTTATCGATGAATATGGCCAACAATCAAATTGTACGACTTAATAACAAGATTACCAATTTTCTTAAGATTGGCTAAATTCAACTTTATTCCTTCCAATTAATCAAATTAAATCCGCTGTGTAACTTGTAGATGCAAAAAATCATAGTTTCTAATCTATTTAGGTTAAGACTAATTAAAACTAATTAAGACTTAAGATTTCCAACTACTAATTCATGTAATTTTAGAATTATAATAACTAAGATCTGTAATGTATAATATAATATTTAAAAAATATTCTCACCTCAAGATGCTGAATTAATAATTATAAATTTGAAATATTTTTAGAAATATTTTATTGCAATTATATATATATATGTATGTATAATATGCTATGTTTAAATTTATCAAAAGATACGATAGTGTCTCGGCGTTAAGATATATAAGCGCAGCTTATCATATAAATTACCTTAGCTAATATTGGTAAAGATCAAATGGAGAGTGATCACTTAAAAAATCAATGAAATTCTACTCATTCAACGATTTTTGTATAAAATGATAGAATCTAGTAGAAAAAAGTGTCGTTCTGCCCTGCGAACCGAAATATTAACCATTAAAGTTCACGACTATTTAGGTTAGGAAATCTATATAGGTGCTTTTTCATGCGCAGCACGCTGCAGCAGCAATTCGTTACTATTGGTTAAGAATTTTATGTAAGCTAGATGACGCACTTCCGGCGCAAAATACATTTTGCCGCAGTTCGTTGAAGTTGAACCGAACGAACAACAAGCAGCAAGCGGCAAAATCGAG